GGAGCAAATTTTTACAAAAGTTCCTGGAATTTTCTTTGAAAAAATTTAACTAATCGCTTACAAATTAAAGTCTTAGCGTTATAGAATTAAAAGGTTTTTAAAAAAATGTTTGAAAGTTGAGATTTGTGTTCCAATTTTTCCCTCTTTAAACCAGTAATCCCGGGGATTGCGCGAGAAAAAATGACAGCCTTAATCCCGGTGAGCTTGAAATGGAAATTTCCCTGACAAAGCGACGATGAATAGCCGTGTCTTTATGGAAGTTTCCAAAGAAAACAAACTTTTTGCTTTCGAATGAACGAAGAAAATGCTAAAACGCTAAAATACACGATGTTTGTTTGCAAAGATACACGAAAATAGTGTTTTGATTGTTTTTTGTTTATGAGTTTTGTGTTTTGTGCTGCTTGTGTTTTTTATATTCATACTTTATTCAAGACATGAAATAAAGCGTAGTCAATAAGACAAAATGATATGCACAGAAAAGAAATCTAAAGCCACGGTCTGATAGAGGAAAAATCTTTTGGGTGACACAAAAAGGGTCATAACTCTAGAACTACGCAATTTCTCCTAAAACTATAACGATTTTCTGAAACTACAGAAAATTTGCAATTTTTTGGCTGTATTTTTGTAAAGGATAAACCCTTATAGCATTCTCAATAAGCCAAAAACTACGCGCGGATACTTAATAGCCACCCTGTAGCGTTGCGCTCTACAAAAGGATGATTTTCTCAAAAACCAAAAGAGTTGTCAGTTTTTTCATTTAGATATTTAGAATCTACGGACATTTTTTCACTAGATTCATGAGTTTGTGTGAAAATTTAAAACTTCATTCGATTCATATAAGACTTTAAACGTGGTTGAAAAAATGAAATTTGTCAAAACTGTGCCCATTTTTGTTAGCCAAGATAACCTTGCATTTGCAATAATGGAACTCAAAAAGCACTACTTTTATAGTGATTAACTCTAAAAACGTATTAATGGAAAAACGGAAAAAACTCTAAAACGGAAAAAAGACGATTTTTTAGGGGCCCCAAACTCGAAAATAACTATTTTTCATCATCATTCCGCATAGCATTTTTTGTACTGCTCGACTAGGGTTGTTAAAATCATTAAAAAATGTTATGGTTCTTCTATCCTATGTAAAGCTACACGTAGATTATATGATTCATTGTTGTTTTTTAGCTTAGGTTAATGTATTGCCTTAGAAACCCAAAAAGATCCATTAAGCGCAATACTATATATGCCGCTCCCTGTATTTTGAAAAGTTTGAAAAGTGAAAAAGAAAAGTGAAAAGTGAAAAGAAATGTCATGAGTTTGCTCTGCCATTTGAGATCGGAAATTTTTTCGACTTTGACTTTCAAAACATTAGAAAATCTATTATGGACAAAAATTTATCAAGATTTTCCATTTGAAAGTTCTGAAATGAATGGGCAGATGGTCTTGCGAAATCTTTTCTTTTGATAAAATTTGAATAAATATTCTAGAAATGAACAGCTCAAAGGCTTTATTTTCTTTTCGAATCCTTTTCCCCCATGCCTTTCCCCATTTTTCTATTGTCTATCTTTCAAATAAAACAAGATCTTTTTGAGCCAAAAATTCTGGAAATCTTTGCAAAATATTAATAGATGGGTTTTTATTTGCTTCTGAAAGACTTTGAGGTCTCATTTTTTAGTTTTTCTCAATATTTCCTGATTGATTAATTCAAAATCTCAACTTTCAGGCGGATTCCGTGGAGATGAAGTTTTACAAAGTGGTGCTTCTCTTTTTCGTGATCATTTCGGCTTTGGACGTGGCGAAAGGAAAAGAACGATCGGTTTATTTTTTAGAATCTCAAGAGAATTTTGTGCATAGTTTACCTAATAGAACAAGTCATTGTACTTTTAGCTCAAAAGCTTTTAAATTGCTTTAAAAAAATCAATTTTTTTAAAACTTGCTTTGATAAAATTGCTTGAAACCTCATTGACCGATCTTTTTCAGTGAAGTATATTCTGAAAATAGACACTTTAATTGATATTTTGGCTATAATAAGTCAGAAAGTCATACTTATAATAATCGAGATTTTTCTGCTGGAAAAGTACCAAAATCTCAAAAACAAAGACAAAGTTTTGGGACCTCGATCTCAAAAAAATCCACTACGCAAAAAATTTTGTTCGATAATTTTAGATGTTTGGGCATAATCAGTATTGGGAGGCCTGTAGAGTAGAAAAGTGCGACAATTTGTGACCAGTAAAAGATCGAGGTTTAAAATTTCACAACCAAAAAAGTTCCTAGATTCTAAATGGGGGTAAATTTAAGAGGTTTATTTCTTCATTCAAAATTCATTCAAAATTTCTCTCCTTGAGTGTGTATTACACAAAAATCAAAACACTCTCCTCGCAAAGGCTTTGAAAAGGAACGCAAAAAGAAAAAAAAAGAAAGAAAAAACGGAAATCGATCGAATCATTTTTTGAACCGATTTTTCTTTGTTTAGAGTTTCAACTGATATTGTTTTATATTCGTTTACTAGACTGTTATATTCATTTTCCTCTTTTATATTATTTCGATTCACTCTCAAGAAAGTTACACTATGCTGGCCGGTAAAAAAGACTCCAATAGAGATCGATTTTTGAATGATCTACGGAAGTTGTTTGAATCAAGTGAGCTTTGGAAGATTTACCAATCATAGAATTTGGTTCGACTTTTATGAGAACAGTGTTTTCTCAAGTGAAATGCGCCTATTGTAAGAATTACCGTAATCAAACTGTCAGTTTTCGTTGGATCAGCCCAATTTCGATCTGGTTTACTGAGCCTTGTGATCCCTAATTTAATGTGATCAAAATTGAACTGATTGAATGAAAGCTAATAGTCGGATTACGGTAGTTTTCTGAAATAGATTCCTTTTAGAAGCACATTAGTCAAGGGTAACACCCACCAATGGTGAGTCACCATAGACAATTTAGGGTACTATACCCTCCCCCCCCCATCCCAATCACTTATACCCCCAAAATTTACATTTGCATTAACACTCAATCACGATGGAAAAAACATTTTTGATGAGCACTGTTTGTGTGATTGTTACATGCAAATTTTTAAAATGTAAATTTTGGGGTATAACCCTATTGATGCGCTTGGGGGGAAGGTACTACGGGTACGCTCCTGACTTAAAATGCGATAACGACAGATCAAAAATCGGAATCCTGTGAAATGTTGTGTGCACTCCAGCTAAGAAATTCGCGAAAAATTAAAAAATTCTGAGCGCCCCCAAAAGAGGAATAAGCGCCCGAAGATTTGAGGGTCTGCGCGCTAAAATGTGGGCAAATCACCGTAACCCAAAGCGTCAAATGGCTGCGAAATCACTGAAATGCTCGTTTTTTCAAATTTACTTTATGAGAATTCCTACAGATGCAACAAAGTTGAGTTTTTACTTCTGTAACAGATTGCTTTGTTTAAAAAATAAAGGAAAAGTTAAGAAAACAAAATAATCTAACTGAATTCTTTATTAAAGCAACATAAATTGAATTGAATTTGAAAAAATGGGAAAATTCTAGCGATTTCGCAGCCATTTGACCCTTTGGGTTACGGTAATTTACCCACATTTTGCGCGCAGACCCTCAAATTTTCGGGCGCTTACTCCTCTTTTGTGAGTGCTCAGAATTTTTTAATTTTTTGCGAATTTCTTAGCTGGAATGCACACAACATTTCACAGGATTCGGATTTTTGATCTGATCTGTCATTACAAGTTTTTGGACTTGTGCTGGGGGGGCACAACGATCCACGGGTAACGTTAAAATCGATTTTTTAAAAGTTAAATCAATACACTGATCAATACACCAATTTTTATATGCTATCCAACTAAGCAAAATCCAAAATTACATTAAAATCTGTCTACTCAAAAAAAAGTTAATAGGATGAACACGTTTTCAGGCCATTCCTTCCAAAAACCGCAACATTTCAACTTGAATTTCTCGTGATAAAAGCACTAACGATCTAAAAAAAAACATTTTACTTTAAATTTTAACTTAAACATAACTAGAATCACGATAAAAAGAAAACAAGAACAAGAACATTATATAATAACAAACAAATCGACAACAATTCAGTCATTCATTCAATCATCATTCAATTAAAGAAAAAACAATCAATCGAAAAGGCTTTAAGCGAATGTGAATAATATGTGATTCAGTTTTTTCCAAGTTTTTTTGACAAGTTTTTACCTGTTTTTTGTCGAATATTAAACCTGGAACAAATGGCCTGAAAACGTGTTCATCCGTTGTGGGGGGAAGGGTATAACCGTATTGAGTCACTTGGTTTTTCCGTCTATAACCGTATAACCGTACCCAATTTAGAAAGTTGGGATGGATCAGTCTATAACAGTATCGTGGCAACATTTGTGCATAAGGAGCTTGGTGATAAAGGGGAACTACTCAAATCAAAGCATTTGAAGCAAATCAATGATCATTTGGACAATTTTGGGAACAAGTTGAGAAATGGTCAACTTGTTACAAGCGATCAAGCAATCAAGGAAGCCCGGATCTTTGCGAGAAAAATCAAGGGTTGGTTTTTTGGATCAAAATTGAGAGTTACCATTTGTTTATTGATTTCGACAACTTGTCTCTAGAGCTCTTCAATGATCTCCCTTGCCCAAAAAGAGAATTCTTTCAAAGAGAGAAGCGTTTTCTGCAATTCAGACAGAAGACAGTGATTAAATGTGACCAGATCGTTTGCATGCCCACCAATTCATGCCTTCCAACAACCGTCTATGAAAAATGGCCAATCTCTTTACCTACACTGATCCTTTCTTTGTTCTTGGTGATCCTCGCTGGCAGCCAATTCTATCAATGGAAATTTGGTGGCGCTGAAAAGAGGAAAGTCTCCAGAAGTTTCAAAAACTGTGAACTTGAGTAATTTAGCATTAAACTTGTCTTATTATTACTAAGTAAGTTGACCAAATTATAACTTTAGAAGGCGTGGAAAGATTTCGAATATTGGCAGTGGCCAACAAAAGAAATCGAATCCTCGAGACAATGGTGAAAAATTTCAGTAAGTGACAAAAACAAGCTCTACAATTGAGTCCACTATTGAACTGTTTCCATTTGGATGCTTCCAACTTAAAATTAGAAATCGATTCGAGTCCAAATTTTTGCTAATTTGCTGATTCGATTTCGAACTTTAAGTTGGGCCCATTCCCTTGTCGGAAGTTAATAATTTTGAAATCTTTTCCCAACTTTTGAAAGCGGCAAATCTCATATTTTATGCTGTCGTTTAACGAAAACTTTATTTCCATCGACTCACCTCCACTGAATTCTCTTCTCACGCCTCCACCAACACCCACAAAGATTAGGACAATCTCACCAAAACCTCAAAGCTTCCCACTTCTGAAATGCGTTTGTTGTGACGTCAATTTTACATATGAAGATCAAAACGCTTTTGAGGTCGGTGCGAAACTTTGAGCTAAATTATTTTGATGAAAATTTCAGATCGAGTGCAACCTCAAGGTGCCCAGCTTTTTCACCCATGAGGAGTGCTTCAAGAAGACTTTGGCCAAGCAAGGGCTCAATGGGAGCAAGAGAAAGGTGGCGTTCTTCAGTCTGATTTTGTTTCACTATCTCACATATTCACAAGAAAATGTCGACAGGGTGTTGTGGGCAAATAATATGAGCCATATACTAACCGACGTAAAGTTTTGCGCTCATTCCGAATCTGTTTTCGGTTTTTGCAACGCAGCACTCTTCCAAAAGTTATATGCATTTAAAGTTTTGTATGGAATCGCAGAAAACAGACCCTGAGTTTATAAGTTGACTTAGCAGAGGGGAAAAGTTGTGGTGGCATGAATACGAAGCAAGCACTTTAAGGTTCGAGACCGGCGTTCGACTTTGGTTCTTTGGCTTTGAATGATTTCAGTGTTTTCCGTTTCAAGTACAAATTCATTTTGACATGGCAATACAAATGGCTCACTATCCTTTTAATCAATTTTTTTTACCGGCAATCAATTGTCGAACAGCTGCAGGCGATGTTGAATCGTCATCGTTGGCTGTATATCCAGAGCAACGGTGTGCCAGATGCTGCACGATTCTGCGCGCAGATAGAGAACAATAATGCCAAAATAAATTTGTACTTGAAACGGAAAACAGTCAAATCATTCAAGGCTAAAAGAAACAAAAACAAAAGTCGAGTCCCAGACCCCAGACTCGAACGCTAGAGTCCTTGCTTCGTATTCAAGCTTACTGCCACTCGGCCAACACGACTTCGTCTGGCATCATCAACACGGCCGTCTTTTTGTCTCTGGTAAGTCAACTTATAAACTCAGGCTCTGTTTTTTTTTTTTTTTTGCGATTCTATACAAAACTTTAAATGCGTATAACTTTTGGCAGAGTGCTGCGTTGCAAAAACCGAAAACAGATTCGGAATGAGCGCAAAACTCTACGACGGTTAGGCTCATATCATTTGCCCACAACACCCTGTCGACATTTCCTTGTCAGAACAAGTTTATTTTCAATCAGTTCAGGTTCAGAAATGTCAAATCCTTACAAATTTCACTTCCTACTTGCTAAGGACGAACTTTACGATTCAACTACCTATACAACTGATTATTTTAGGAGTGGAAAACAGCTGATTGTGTGGAAAACGATTGCGCTGGACACCTCATTTTCATTCATCCCATAAAGAAAGGCGGATTCTATGAAAAGGTGAGTCGATGTAAAGATATCAAACCAAAAATATAGAAACTATTAGGAGACCCAGTTAAAAATTGCCATTAAAGTTTTCACATTCTGCTAATCTTGCTAGAAGTCTAAGCAAATTTTACAAATTTGATATTTCAGCCAGTCTACTGCGATTAGTCAAGTGAAGGAATGCATCGAATATTGAACTTTTCTCAATTTGCATTGTTAATTCAATTTTATTTTTCTGTTGTTACATTCTTAGCTCGACATCTTTTTGGCCTTCAAATGTAACAGCACAATCTGGCGCAATGAATTGTCTTGTCAAAGATGCAAAACTTGTAAAGTTTGAAATGTGAGCCGTGAAAGCAATCGACCGATGCCTCTCTTTCTCGGTGAATCATTGTGACCAAGAAAAAAGGTCCTTCTTTGCATAAAGAATCGAAACAAAGATAAAAACCCGAAGAATCTATTGGGTTGAACGGAAAGTCCCTGCGACAAATTTTCAATGGAATTTTTCATGCACTATATCGCAAAATTTTTCATAAATACCATACATTCTTTGAAAGCTCTTTTCACGCTCTACACGATAGAAGTATTCCCTTTTTAATTTTATAAATTTTTTATGTGTCCATCATTTATAATTCCTCTCGAAGGGATTTACTTCTCGATGTCGTGCTATTACACAAAACTTTTCCCATCTGAGTGGATTTGGTGGGAATTGGTGAGTTGACTACATTTTTAGCGACAAGAATTATTAGAAAAGCTTTTGAAAGTAGAAAAAACACTCAAATTGTTAGTTTGAGTCAAAAAAAGATGAAAATCTAGATCTTTACACTGATTAAAAATGAAAGTTCGACTGGAACAACAACTTATATACAAATAATGCAATCTTTTTTTCGAGAAAGCACAATCAAAATCTTTTGTTGATCTTCACTTCTTTTTTCTTCTCCTTTTCCATCTCTCGCATTACTTTCTTGCCCATATTCCCGCTCGTGATAAGCCAATCTCTGAAGAGATTTTTGGTGATAAACTTCTTTTATATATGCATGGTTTTCTTAATATCATTTACTCAATTCAGTTATCATTAAACAAAACATATCCTACCTATATTCTTTCGACACATTCAATGTCTCCAAATCAGCTCTCCATGAGAGTTTCTCAAAGATTTCGAGTTGACTCACAAAACCTGAGATTTATTAGTAAAGTTTATTAGTTTATTAATGAATTTATTAGTAGATTTATTAGTATATATTTATTAGTTTTTACCATAATTTGGCCACGAGGATGAATGTGCTTTTCTGACGTGTGCTAGAGCCTCGACGAAGGACCATGATTCACTAAAATGAGACAACCACTGTCAACGGACAACCACAAATCAAATGGTTACATCTTGAAAAAAACGATGCCAATTACAGGGTGTCTCAAAAAAAGACCCCTTTACAAACCGAATTTTAGAAAAACTTTAAGTGGCTATTGGTGGCACTGCTGGTGCCAAAACTGTTTTTTTCTTAAGGCAATTTTCTCACTTTTTCGAGATTTTTTTCTTGGTCCAAAAAGCTGAAATTTGCAACAATGGTAGCTGATAGTGGTGGCTGGTGGTTTTTTTGAGACACCCTGTAGATCGTTGATTGTTTTTTATTTTAAATCTATCAAACATTCACATACCTCTTCATCATCCAGGCACAACAAATAGTCACACTTCTCGAAAACCCACCCATACAATGAACCAAAATATTTCTTTTGGCGTTAATTGCCCCTAAAATATAACAGTTGAAGCGAAAAAAGATATGGCATTAAAAACAAACTTTGAATGATGTCCATTAGTTGATCTAATATCACCAAAATATTGCTTTCAGGAACATCGTCAAAAACATGATAATGATAAGTGATGTGCTAAAATTGGCAGTGATTACTGGGAATTTTCCATCTTTCAAACTTTCAGTCGTTTGTTAGCGCAAATCTGCTTCCCACCAACAGTCAGAACTTCGAGAATTCCTGTAAAGTAAAGAGAAAAAGACAGAGAATTTCTGAGATTCCTAAAATTCCTTCGAGGATTCCTGCAGAGAGTTTCATAAAGGATCTGACTAACCTTCTGACTTTCTTCTAAAAATTTCTTTTAAAAGTGAATTGTAAACAAGTTCGAATAAACGATTCTTTCATTGCTCAACACTCACCCGCCTTTTCGAGCATTCTATGATTCACCGCAGCGAAATAGTTACTAACATGCAGATAAGGAATGATTTGATCGATGCCCATTTTGATTGAATATGGGAATTTTTGAAAATTTATAAAGGTACAGAACTTGCTTTGAAATAAAGGTAAGAAAAAGGGATTTCAAAAATGTCGTGCTTGAAATGTTTCGAACTGTTCTTTGAATCCCTTTCCCTCTCTTTCTCTCTTTCTGCAATGTTGTGCAATAAGCACAGAAAGAAAAGGCAAAAGAAGAAAAAGAGTAAAACGAAGCAGAAAAGAGGCAATATTTATTTGCCTATTTTGAAATTTTTCGTTTTTTCTTTTCAAAATATTTTGAGATTTTTTAGCTTTTGAGCAATTGTATCTTGTAGGGTAATTTGTGCCATTTCCAAATAAACTTTTTCATAAATTTTGCCTCTGTACAAAATAAGTACTCTGTTGATGAGAAGCTACGTGACGATTTACCGATTCAGTCTCAGATTCACACCCTAAATTTGTGTGCTTTAAAAATAATAGTTACAATAAATAAGTTCTAAACAAACCTTTGGAGATTCATCGGGAATGTTGTCTCCATCACCGCATTACTTTTAATTTTTGAAACGTTCGGATGAGCAAAACACGATAGAATTTGACGATGATCAGGTTAAGAATACAATGGAATGATGAATGGTGAGATCAGAGAGAAGATGCTGACACTCAGCCAGCCTGGGAGAATGGGATTTTGTTTATTATTCACTTAAACGTGAGTAGATAAAATAAATGGTTTGGATTTAAAAACAGCTCTTAACCGACTTCATGCACCGTATTTATTCTAATAGAGTCGCAGCCTCCAATAGAAGCAATATAAGTATTCAACTTAGTTGTATTTGCTTTTTATTGCCTTTTGAGAAATGAATGCTTGAAATAATTGAGAGATATGACGAACTGATGTGATTCACTGTCAACTTTTCCGATTTTAGCAATAACTTGTGAATTGAAAATGCAAAAAGTGCGCATGTGGGAAATACAGGGCGCCATAATTGTCGCAGCAAGATAAAGCTCTGTTTTTAGGGCAGACCAGAGGAAAAAAGAAAATTTTTAACTGAATAACATTTATCGTACATTAACAATTATAAATCAACTATCAAATCGGCCACCATTAGCATTTGAGCAGGCCCGCAGGCATTTCGAGAAGGCGTCAACGGTGGCGATCAAATAGGCTGGATCGAGCTTTTCTCACGCTTTCAACAGTGACTTCTTTAAGCCTTCGGTGTTTTTGTGAGGCTTTGAACAAGCTTTGGCTTCTAGAACCGACCACACTGAAAAAACCATTGGGTTGGGTTCTGGAGAGCTAGGTGGCCTCAGAAAAAGGAAATGAAGTCCGGAAAGTTGTTTTGGCAGAACTCTTGGACCTTCTTGGATTTGTGGGCCGGTGCACCATCTTGCCGATAAGTTCAAATGTGATTTCCAAAATTTTTACGAGCCCAGCGCAAAAGTTCACCCTTGAGAAGAACCAGAAGAATCCTTGTTACCGTGCGTGATACCTCGTTGCGACAATTATGGTGCACCCTGTAATATTACGATCTTTGAGTTAATTTCTTGTCAGCATCACATGTGGTCACGGTTACCTGGCCGAGACCGAATTTTAAGAAATATCATCCAACATTAATAATAAACAAACAAACCAAAGCAAACTTGTTTTTCAATTGTCGATTTTGTCCATATTATGTGGTTTTTACTAACAAACTGTTTATTATTTTAAAAAACGAAGTTGCTTTCTCATAAACGGTATATTATGATCAGAGGTTGACGACACAATCGGTCATTGTTCTCCCATTTCCGATCGTCACCGTTGCCAGGTGTTGACCGGGTGGGCAATCGGCGGCCTAAAATTATTTATTGTTTACGGTAGTTAATGCCCAATATCTATGCAATAGTTTGCTAAACTGTTTCGAGCTCATGTTAATATTTAGTTCTTTAAAAGCTCTCACCAAAACAAGGCTCATCATAGCGAGAACGATCAAGAGAACGAAGAAAAGACTTTGTTGAGCGAGAGATGAGATTTCTGATTATGAAGTTACAATTTACATTAAATTATAGAAAGAATTAAAAACTTCTTTAAAGGTTATAAATGGATTCAAAAATACTCAAGTCTGTTCAAAATATGGGATTTTTAAATGAAAGAGAGTGTATATCAATTCAAACAGAGATCTCTGACTTATTTACATTTATGGAAAAGGTTTTCAAAGTCATTCTCAAACCACAGAACACAATAACTTGATGAAAGAGATTGACTTTTATATTGAATATTATGCTGCACTTCCTTGATGTTAAAATGAAAATCAAAGATCAAAAAGTATGCCAAAGTAGCAAAAAGGAAAAAAAAAGTTGCTTGGTAATCGATATTGGTAGATCTGCCTTTTATGTATTTGGCTCACTATCATCGGTATCATTTTTTACTCAATTTTTACGATCTTCAATTGGCTTCTGATTTTCTATCACAATAACTCGTACCACCATTTTTTCAAATACATTTCCCATTTCCTTCAATTTTCTTTTCATTTGACATTTATGAATACAGGAAACCCGTTCGTGATTTGGGACGGGGTACTTTCCCTATAACGATTACAAAGATTGCAAAGATTTCGTACAAATCTAGCGAAAAATTTCATTCGTTAGCGGCTGAATTTCGTAAACGACTACGACATATATATGGGGATTTCTCAAAGAACACCCAACTTGTCACTACGACATTTCCATAGTGACTACAAGCTCCTCTCAATTGGTTAGAAGGACGTCATTTGTCTTCAGTTCCCCTCACTCCACAAATTCTCCCTTTGATTTATGGGTACCGCTTATTCGATTGCTGTTTTTCAAGATTTTTTCAAAAAAAAAAATTTTTCAAAAAAAAGTGAAAGAAAGATCTTTATGATTCTGATGTCATTTTGTTGCACCCGTTGAGATCTATAAAGTGGCAACAAAATCATAAAGATTGACCCACT